AATAGGAATTGCTGCTGAGCGCGCCAAAACACCCAGCTGGCAAACTTTGCACATGTAATTTGTCTGCAGCAAAGGCGAATTGGCAGGAACTTTGCACCCCTCCCTGCTACCCAACTACACCATTTCCTAGTTAGTCCCAAAGATACCTGGAGGAGACTGGAGCGGCAACGCCGCTCTTGATCTTCGGCCCTGCTAGGGCAATAATGGCTGTGGGCGCAAGAGGCAGGGGCAGCGGGGCTGCTGCGGGCAGGGGTGTGTGAGGGGCGGCTGTGGGAGCCGCAGGGCCTCCTCTACACGGGGCTGTGCAGGATGGGCGGTGGTGCTGGTGGGGCGGCTGCAGGTGGGGTGTGTCGATGGCGGGCTGCCCCCCCTGGCGCAGCTGGTGCTTTGGGAGCTGTGGGGCCCGTTTTACATGGTGTGGCAGCAGTGCTGGCAAGGTGGCTGCGGACAGGGGCGCGGCATGTAAGCATAATTACAATATAAAATGTTATTGTTACAAATGTTTTTTATTATGCATTTATCATATTATAGTGTATTCTGTATTATTGTTGCAATGAATAAAATGTTTCTTTTATTTACAATATTTTTTCTTTAATTTATTTGTGTCCTCCTTTTCATTGTAAAAAAGTTGGTCACCTTAACATCAAGGACCCTACTCAGGAATAGAATTGCAAGGGGTGGAAAAGGCTGAATTCAATAGGGGGGAGGAGGAACGATTTAAAATATATGTCTTTCTCCTACTTGGCTTTTCCAAATTTACTATGACAAGCACACATCTCCTATATAACTAGTCACTATTGTACAGAATATCCAAGAAAGGTTTGGGAGTATAAGCTCAACCTTCAGAATTGGGAAGAAGATTGATTCTCACCTTTCAATGCAAAGAATGACACACAAGGCTGCAGTTCCTTTGACACATAGCCAATTCAGGGAGTGCTACTGTTGTGATCCTGAGGTAGAAGATCTTTATGCTTTACCAAGATAAGATGGAGAACTTCAGTCAAGTTCACTCCTGTCCTCTTCCTCACAATTGCTGATAGTTTTGGAGAAGCGAATGCTGATGGGAGTTAATACTTTCTAACGATCGGTTTGCCATGGATCCACTGAGAGAAGAACATGGACATTCTCTCTCAAATTACAATTTCTCAAATGAAAACTGTAATTCCAATTTCTTCTCTAACAGGAGTTTTATTGCAGGAGTTCATTTCATTAGTTTAATATCTTGAATTTAGTAAATAAATGCTATTACAGCAGATGCATGTTGACCCAGCAAGTTACATTGCTGCACCATTATTTAAAATTGGGCATGAAGTTATTTAGGAAATGTGTGAGATTTATTTCTGTTTGTTGACAAACACAGTTCCCTGTCCAGAAAATAATGATCTTTGATTTTAGATGTTTCTCTCAAAATGTAAAGATCCCAACTATTGTCCAAGACATTCTGCAGTGCATCAAATTTCAGTGGGTATGCCAGGATTTGTATAATGGTAATATGTGGAAATAAGGATGACAAATCATGAGAAATGTACTTTCAGTTTCAGATTATTCAAACCACTGTTTTGGATTTATGACTCCATTATGTCTATTCATTCTATGTTATTTAGAGGCAGAAATGTGGAATGTAATTTTAATGAACTCTTAAAGCATAATCATATTCATTCTGCTGCTGCTAGGTAAGCCAAATGAAATAAGAACTGATGGGTTTTGAAGTTAGTTTCTGTGGCTGGATTTACCTAACAACTGTTTCTTTTTACAGTAAATAGGTCAAATTGTTTGGGTTATAGGAGTTTATATACAGTATTGTAGACCAGTTTCAGAAGGGGGGGAAACTACTAATATTGTAATATACTTATCAGTATTCAACTGGGGGGGGATAATATATGTGTACCTGTATTTTCTTTTCTCCTCAACCTCCTCCCTGTCCCCTTTCCCCATTTAAGATAAATAATAGTAGACGCCTCTCTTGCTTTACAAAGATGTAAGGACGAGCCTTGCACATATACCCTTCCTCTGAGATGCATTGAGTTTGGAACTGTTTTTTGGAGCATTTTGTTTCAACTTAGCCAACCAATCGAGAAGTCTACAGCTGAATACAACCAGGATGTAGTATAGTTACTTTTGATTAAATATTCTCAAAAACTGAGCACAAGAAGTTTCTTTTGTATATATTCCTAAGAGTATACATGGCAGAAAATGTCGCTTTGGAGAGTTTGGATGGGTAGATAGTGCAGTTTTTATTTGACTCCATGTGTGACTTCAGAGTTATCATAATTTGCTGTTGTTTTCTAGAACTCTTCGTGAACTGGAGTCATGAAAGAAAGACGAGAGCACATTTCTGCATCCTCCACCTTGAACTTCTGGAAGTGAGTTGGGAAGTTTGAAATGTTAGAACTAGACTTAACAACATTGTGTGTGGTGAGGGCCGCTCTACGGGTATTCTCCAAATGCTTTACATCATACATAGTTGCCATCAGATCTTTGCTCTTTGATGGGAATGTTGGGGTGGGTGAGTTGTACTTATATTTGTTGAATGACTCTAAATAACATAGAATGAATAGACATAATGGAGTCATAAATCCAAAACAGTGATTTGAATAATCTGCAGTCTTAAAGTGCATTTCTCATTATTTGTCATCCTTATTTCCACATATTACCATTATACAAATATTGGTATACCCACTGAAACTTAGACTGCTGCCCCAGAAGGCCCAAACTCCTGAGCTCCACAGATACCAAGGACCGGATCTTGCAGCCTCGGCTCAAGGAAGGCCAGCCCCTCCCACTAGAGCAAGAGATGATTGTTAATTCAAGGATTTAAAAAGTTTGCAGATAGAAATTGCTCCTGCAGCTAATATTGAAGAAGCAGTACATGTGAGGAAAGGTTTGTACACAATGCAGTTTGATTAAAGATACCAGACATGTTAGAACTCTCAAGGAGATGTAAGGAAATATACAAAGACTTTGTGTACTTTTTTATGTACCACAAGCATCGGAATAGGGTGGGAGAAATTACTTCCATCTGCATGCAGAAGTAGATAGAGGTGGTCAAGCAAACAGACCAGGAACATTTCAAAAATATGGTTTTAAAATCAAGATGGTGACAACAACAGTACAATCATCTGTTCTTTGTGTGTGTGTTATACATGTGACATACATAAGAAAATCAGGTTGGTGGCTACAAGTGCATTGTCACAAGTACCATATTAATTTTATTTTATTTTCAGCCGCACCCCTTGGGCATCTCTGCAACAGATACATTTACTCAAAGGCATTTGAATACATTGCTAAGGAAAAACAGCTTCTATTGCTTTAAAATGTGGGTAAAGATGTAGGTAATTACAGTCAATATATATGAAGAGAGAAGGTCTGCGTTCCTCCGCAGAACACTGAATCCTGTGGACACAGTAATACCCAAAGAATGTTGAATTATATTTGCATCATAATTTCAAAATGGATAATTCTGGGAATGTTTGCTTAGAGACCGATGGTCCTGCTGAAGCTGGTAGAATGTGTGGGCACCTGCCTGATATGGATCTGCTCCTCCGGCTTTTGCTGCTGGTAAAGAGATTCTACAACCTTGATTGTAGAAAACTTCAAAAACTTGCAAAGATGAATTGACCAGAAATAGTGAAGTTTGTTAAAAGAACAGCTTAATTCCTCCACAAAAACCAAATTGATGGCTCAGTGTTTCTACTAGTCTTGAAAACAGTAGCCTTGGATACTCATCAAGGTAGCCATGGCCGTGTCTAGAAAGCACAAAGAACTAATTATAGGGCTCTTCAATAGTGCTTTTTTTGTAAGAAAAAGGGTGCCGGAATTCACATCTTGTTAATCTTTTATTTAAAAAATTATATATTCAGTTCTTAGCAGGACCGATGGTTGAGAAGTAATGAGTATTTTTTTTTTCATTTTTAAATTTGGGGTCACACTTTTACACTAAAAATTTAAAAAAGATTTTCAATTCACCAACGTTTTTTTAAAATAAAGAAATTATTTACCTTTCTCACATAGTCAGTTACTGTACACTCACTCACACATGTCAGTTGTGTAATGAAACATAACAGTTGCCGCCCGCAATAAACAGTGCGCGACCACATGACCAATCACAAGCCATGCAGTGCCATCACAACCAGCACGGACGAAGTACGCATGCATCGGACTCGACACACAAGCAGCCCACATGCACTGTTTTAATGATTTTGCCACTGACCTGCTACACTCGACAGGGCAATTCAAGTCCATGTGGACCAAACACCAAATTTTCAAAAGTTACTTTTAAAACTTGGAAAAGCCATCGAAAAAAGGTGCTGGAACTCTGTTCCGGTGTGTACTATGACAAAAAAAGCGCTGGCTTTTCATATGTAAATGGTAATGCAAAATAACAAAAAACCTGACTTTTCTCATGGTATATTTGAAAGGGAGAAGAGGGGCGAAGGCTTCGAGCCTTCTATTCCCACCCACCCCCACTTCCCTGCTGTGAGAACTTTGAATGCACAAAAATATGTCAGGCTGGAAGGTGTAGACTCCCAAACTGACCTATCTTGAGTTTAGTTTTGGGCCTGTTTTGTGAGCTCTTCCTGGAAAATTGTTGGGATGGATGCAAGAGCCCACAAAAGGCTCCTGATAACCTGCAGAGCAAAGGTAGGCAATTTTATTTTTGTCCAGGGCCAAGTTCCCTCAGAGATCATCTCTTGAGGGGTGTTGGCTAATGGAGAACAGCGCTGTAGAAATTAATTGGAGGAACAAAAGTCAAGTGTATCCCATTTCTGCCTCTCTAGCACTATCTGTCCTGTCTCTTCCTTTTATTCTTATTCTACTTCTTATTTTTCTCTGGTAAGCAGAAGCTGCGAGAATGGGATAAATGGGATAGATGTTACCAGAAGTCAGAACTCAGAAACCCAAGTGAAATTAGGCCCAAAGTCACATTTGATCCTAAGTCACAGGCTGAAGCAGTGTCATGACTGCTGCTATAAAACAAAAGAGAGGGTTTTGAGCCAACATAAAAAAATGACAGTATTTATTGCAGCATGAGAGTTTATTGACAATAGATTATTCCAGGAGGTGCACTGTGGATGAGGAAATAGCCAGAAGCTTGCATTTTGCCTTTTGTTAACATTAGAGGATGGTATAGTGCTTGAAACTCACATGAACTACTGTACATTAGAATTTAAAAACAGGATGTACAATAAAGTGATCCTTTAAACAGAGCTTATAAAAGTAGCATGTCTGTTGGATGCTACTGTTGTTTAGCTCTTCATCTGCAATTTTGTGTATTCTCTTTGTGACAAGATGGGCTTGTGCAAAGCCACTGAAGCAGAGAAGTAAAGAGACAAAGTATGTTACCTGCTTCCTATGAAGTTTTGCAACACTTCAGCTGACAACATGGAGGAAGGCAATATGGGAAGCACCATTCCATTCACAGAAGCACTAACCCAACAACATAAGGGTGCAGGGCAAATTACAATGATCTATGCAGCAGAGCATGTAAAGAGAGATGAGGTGAAAAACACACAATCAGAATAATCACATCAACTTGCTTCTTCTGCCTTTCTGGGATGGGCCACTTTTAAGCCTGAAGGTGGATAATTACATGATTGAAATGGTTCTGTCACTGATCAGAAAATGTGCCTATTCATGCAAAACTAGCATGTCAGGGAGAAAAAATGGGCTTGAAGCCCTGACACACTGGTCTTCTACAAGCAAGGAGGCCCTTTCCTTTTAGAAAGCAAAGAAGAGGGAAAGTTTCCAAGTATGTGATCACCCACCTACAGCCTGGAAGGGTTGCAATAGTAGACCAATCTCCTGATCATAACTTAGGCTTACAAGTGCCATTCCAGCAGGCCTTTTACCCTGTAAATGTAGAGGATTGTAGAGGAGGTATGGGCAATTGTGGGGACTGCTTAATTTTCAGAAAGTACTATATGTTGTGTTGGTAGAGGTGTGGTAACAAGAGACTCTTTTGTTAAAGCAGGAAGTGACCTCTGCTTTTGGAAACCTTAGCTGATTATTCTCTTGTTTGAGGAGCTTGTGGATGATACTATCTTCATGCCTGAACTCCCCCCACCATAGGTGTATCCGCCCCCTGTGAGGCTTCCAGATCCACTTAAGCTGCCCCCACTACTAAACCGACTCACTTTTCCTCCTCCAACGCTAATGTGGCTGTAACCTCCGCCACCACCACCCATGTTTAATCCACTGGATCCTCCACTGATAGTGTATCCAGCTCCTCCTCCAGCTCCATAGCCAGATCCCCCACCGACACTGTATCCTCCTCCTCCTCCTCCTCCTCCTCCACCACTGATGGTACTCGAGCTGCTGATCACAGCTGTGGATTGGAAAATGATACAGGAAATCACTCTTGGTCACTCAAGACGACAAAGGCAACTCTCTAATTTAACCAAGCGCTAGTTGTTGTGTACTTACAGATATTGACAGGGTTTTCAAACTCGCCCGACATCCTAAGAGAGAAAAGATAAACAAAGTGTTGAAACAAAGAACACATTTTACAGCCCAGAAAATTCTATAGCTCTTAGCATTCTATTTTCATGGCTTTCACAATAGCGTCAAATCTGCTTCAAAATAGCTTCAAGTAGACTTTCCTGAATTCTGCAGATTTATCACTCATGGCCAGACTGTCAGGTTATTAACTATGAGCTGGATATTCTCAGGATAATGAGATTCAGCCACATAGCTATGTACAGTAGTATTTTTTTATAATTCATGGTTTTATAACCAGTCCTAGAGTAGCATTTAAGCAATCTCATTCTTGGCTTTAGTCTTGTATCAACATATTTCTGTTTCTGCTATTCTACATAATTTGCTGTTGTTGTTTTGCATTCTTTTTTAAAAAATTCTACCTACATTCTTGACTAAAGGGATTTTCCAAGTCCCCACCCATGTCTGTTGCACCAAGTGGTATGTGGTCTATTCTGCATCTGATCAGAACAGACAACTACCTTCAAAACTCAGTTCTTGGCAAGTAGTCTTTTGCACATGGAAGTAGGCAAAGAGTCTTACCGATACTCCTCTCCCTCTAGCAGGGTTCTGTATGTAGCAATCTCAATATCCAAGGCCAGTTTCACAGTCAACAGTTGTTGATAATCCCGCATCAGGCGAGCCAGCTCATCGTTTGCTGATGCTAAGGCAGTCTGCAGATCAAGCAACTTTGTCTGAGCATCTTTCAGGGCTAACTCCCCACGTTGCTCAGCTTCTAGTAAAGAGGACTGCAGGCTGCTAATCTGAAAAAGAAAGAGACAAAACCTCCCTTAGATGCCACATTGTGTGTACATGAATGCGATTGTCAATACAAATCAATCAATCAATTCATTCATTCATTCATTCAAAGCAGCAGGGACTTTTTAGTTGCAGCACCAACATTACTGAGTATTTTTTTTCCAGGCTTCATCTTTACTTTTATTTGTTTGTTAGAGGAGAATGTAAAACTTTGGAGAAAGAGTTCCATTACGAGTTGAGGGAATTCATTTCTTTCTGTCACTGATGGATATAAGGCATCTGCTTTGTTTCTTGTGGTTTATTCACAGTAAGCCACTGTTTCTTTAAAAACATTATACTATGGTTTTGTTATTTTTACTTTAGTTAAAATATGTCTCTCCCCCCAAAAAAAACCTAACCCCAGATGGTTTCCATATGAACTGGATGAAGTAAAAGTATTCAGGTGGGAAAGTAAGGTGACAATACCAAACCAGTGAAAGTGAATAGTAGAAAATGGGATTCTGGAACTGAAGCCCTGAGCAGCCTTGAAGTTATGCTTTGAAAGCAATTATAAATGGAACTAAGGAAATCTGGAGAAGTCATCAGCCATCTAAATGCCCCATTGCCCTTTCTCCTCAGTACCCATAGAGAGTTTTTTAAAAAGCTAAATAAAAAAGAATCTAAGGAATTATTGAAATATCTTATGAACTGCATAAATCCTTTTCAAGGGAGGCTGAACCTAGGTAGTTACAAGAGTTGAATCTTTGACCATCATGAAGCAACTAATTTCTCACTTAGAAAAAGAAATAAAGAGAGGGGGGAGAAAAAGTGAGGAAAAAGATATGCCTTACTGCTTTATTCAAAATTTCAATTTCGGAGCGAAGTCTTTGGGCAATTCGGCTCATATCTGCTATCTCATCTTTGGTTGTTTTTAAGTCATCTCCATGTTTGAAAGCTGTAGATTGCAATTCTTGGAACTGAAAGTCAAAATGGAAAGTAATGATCATCTTATACATCTTAAATAAGTCTTATTCACACAATATTCTTTATTCACATGCATAAAATAGTTGGTATTGGTTGCAAAAGTATAGAAAAAAACTTGAGTGTTCAAAGTACTTGAAAAAGAAAATTTTGAATTGCATTAGCTTAATGTACTGAAAGGTCTAGTTTTTCTACAGATGAAAAACCAAAATTTAGCTACAAGAACAGAAATATATTTTCAATAAAGGAATATATATAGTACTAAATATAAATTTATATGCAATTGTGCTCTCAGGGCAAAAGCAAATTCTTGGGACCCATACCAAGAATCTGGAAGATTCTCAAAGACAAAAGAGCCAGCTTACAAAATGAGCAAAACATACTTTTCCACTTGAGGTAAAACAGGTACAGTACATTGTATGCCAGGCCACACAATTTTTTTTCTAGCAGCTAAAACATCTCATAAATACACCCAAGATAGGGAAAGTTACATTTTAGAAAAATGAAACAGAAATGGAAGAGATGGGGATAATTATCTATTGATAGTGGTCATTCACCAAACCATTTTTGGGTGTAACCTATGTGTATGACATAAGGATAGTACTCTCTATATCTTGTGAACTAGATTAGATCTAAAAAAAATACATGGTATAATGATCTTATAAACCTCTTTGGGCTGCGCTAAAGACTGTTGTTTGATTTTCTTGCAAAAGATTAACTTTCTGAACAAACTGCTAGTTGGTTCTTTCAGATTTCAGTACTTCTTAATTCAAGAACATCAGAGAGCACTGAATTCAGTTTTGTTCCAGTGTAAATATTGAAACCCCTCAGAGATTTTGCTTTATAATTGAGGGGATTATTTTGTCATTCAAACTGAGGTGAAATTGCATCTGCTTTTGCCAAGGATCCTCACCTTAGTTTGGTACCATGCCTCGGCCTCAGCTCTGCTCCGATTGGCAATGTCTTCATACTGAGCCTTGACTTCAGCAATGATGCTGTTGAGGTCCAGATCTCGGTTGTTGTCCATTTGTAGAGTAACATTCGTCTCCTTAACCTGTGAGTGCAGCTGAGCCAGCTCCTGTGGGAGTTGCAAACAATACAATTGTTAAGGGGAAAGCTCTTATGCGGAACAGCGACATCAGAGTGTGTTCCTGCCCTCGGATTAACTTCTTAGACATGTATCTATGTTGAAAAGAGCCCACAAGAAAATAATTACATGAACGATTTTCAAACAAAGATGCCAAATCCTCTATGAACTCAGACGTGCCAGGGTTTACTTTTGGGATTTCTATTATTAGATATGATTTGGAATTCTCAGCGCCATGTTGTTCATGGCTTTCAAAGTAGAAATTTCAGCTGCCACTGTTCACTTCCATGGGGAAAAGATGTGATGCTTGTTGGCCTCACATGGCACGGGAGACGTGAAACTCTCTCCAAAAACACATTAAGATGTCCACCTTTTCAGGTATCCTTGCAATACAGAGAGGTCCCTCCTGAGCTTACCCCACACCAAACAATCCCATAAGGATGGATTTATTTTACCTAAATAAATTTTGCTTTGAAAAGAGCTATTCAGGGTTAATGAATTCATTAACAGGACAGTTTTTATAACAGGTAAAGAACAGGTTTATGCAGGCAGTAAAACACAGTCAAAAAGCTGTACATTTGATGACACGGATTGCTCTAGCACAGTGTTCCCCAAACTTGACAATTTTAAGGCATGTGGACTTCAACTCCCAGAATTCCACAGCCAGCAACGCTGTGGAATTCTGGGAGTTGAAGTCCACATGCCTTAAAATTGTCAAGTTTGGGAAACACTGCTCTAGCAGGAATGTCTTAAAGAGAAATGCATTTATTGGTTGCATATTGGAAAATGAATTTGCTTTAGGTACTAATAGGTATAATAAGGCAGAGGTGATCCTTACCGCATCAAAGAGGGCTCTTAAGAACTGGATATATTGAGTCAAGGAGTCAGCCTTGGATCCCAGGTCTATTTTGTGCATATAAGAGCCGTCCACATCCTTAGGAAGAAACATATCAATACTATCATAGTCTGGGCAGAGCAGGCAATATGGGTCAGAGCTTTGAGCAGAGTAAGTCCTGTTTTAAGGCTTGTTGCAATATTATATGCAGATAATATACTTGGTGTATAATATAGAGCAAGGTGTTATTTATTTATCTGTTTGATTAAGAATTCACTTTGTGAAGCTCAACCCTGCATTTATAGTGCTTAAGCTTCCCAGCTCTCCCCATAAGAGCTACCTTATATGGGAGATTGGGTTGCCAGAGAGCCAGAGCACCAAATTTATCTTGTGAGCTTCCATGGCTGTGGGTGGACTGCAACCTGGTTCCCCCCCCCACACACACACTTTTAGTCCAACATCTTAACCATTGCATCACATTCATTCACAATCCGTAGTGATATCAGCTACAGTGGTCATTGCAAGAATACATCCCTATAATTAAGCTTTGCTTTTAGAAAATAAAAAATACCCTGGTTAGGAACCAACATTTTTTAATGCATAAATATGTGAACTTTTGGAAGAGAATTTCAAAAATGTGCCAATAGCAGCAACCTGCTTATCGGTACTAAGATAAGCTATACAATCAATTGTTCAAAAATGTTGGTATTGGATTTAACACAGATCAAGTGGTAATTGTGAATGCCAGACATGTAAGACTATTAACTTTAGCTATAACCAAGCACTGCAAATAGATGTGTAAGTGCAAATACTTATGAATGGAGAGATATAAGAAATAAAAAATTAGGATTGTAGCTTTACATTTCCACGTTAATACGGATCACTTACCTTTTTGAGCACCACAAAATCGTTTTCACAAGCTGTCCGTTTGTTAATTTCATCTTCATATCTGTAATAGGAATAAATTTTTACTAGCGCTAGTATAATTAATTGTATTCAACTGGTTGTTCAAACGTATAGATCTTCACAAGTCTTACTGAATATATAAGTTTATGACAATCTTCTAAGATAAATGAAATTTGGAGATCATTACTTGCCCAAAGTATCAGCAGACGTTCTATACTTCATATGAGGCTATTATAGCTGACCAAATGCTATACACAGGACCATACAAGGCAAATTAACTAGATATAAATTAAAAAAAACTCTCCAACTGCAAATAATGACAATGAAAAGCAAATCATGAAACTATGATGAAAAAAATTAGCATAAAAGCAGCTGTCAATAATTTGGAGAAAGGCTTCATGCATTGTTTTGCCTTCTTGACAGAAGTCCATATTATCCATCCAACATCATCTATTTCTCTTCACTTTTACTTACTTGTTCTTGAAATCCTCCACAAGCTCTTGTGTGTTCTTCAGTTCTATGTCCAAATGATTTTTATCATTGCAGAGGCTGTCAAACTGCCTTCGAAGAGTTTCTATGTAAGCCTCATAAATAGGTTCAAGATTGTCCCTTAGGGCTGGAGAGCCTTGTTGGCACAGAAGATCCCATTTGGTTTCCAGGACTTTATTCTGTTGCTCAAGGAATCGCACCTAAAACCCAACAAGGGAAGGAGAGGGAAGAGGGACCTTGTTATCTTTCTTGAAGAATTGGCTAGAATCTATTTGTTTGTTTGGCAGATCAGTTCCTACCCTGTCTATATAGACCCCTCTCTTTCCATTTTCCCTGCAATAATACCATGAAATAGACAGGCTCAGAGAGAATGACCGCCCTAAGATATCCAGTTCTATGGCTAAAGTTGGGAGTTGAACGTGGTTCTTCCTATTACTGTGCAATTCTTTATCATTCTTTATCAGATCATATGGAAAGGACCTGCTGAATCTCTGCTGATTTCCCCATGTGACAATATTCTCCATGTCCCTTCTGAGACAGAATAACAGAGTTGGAAGGGACCCTGGAGGCCTTCTAGTCCAACCTCCTGCTAAAGCAGGAAACCTTATACCATTTTAGACAATGGTTGCCCAATCTCTTCTTAAAAACCTCCAGTGATGGAGCACCCATAACCTCTGAAGGCAAGTTGTTCCATTAATTGTTTTAACTGTTGTGTCCTCCTGAAGAAAAACATCCTTCCTTAACCCTCCCTCCATCCTTTCTCTAATTTTAAAAATTCAAACAATGTCAACATGAATTTTCACACAATTTCACAGCATCAACATTTTACATAAATGCACATAGATATGTATGTCGCATTGTGAAATTTTAAATCACCAGCTGATTAAAATACATCGAAGATGCATAGATTCTTCTTTCAAGGAAATAAATAGGATGTTGCCACATTTTAGACCAGTGGTTCTCAACCTGTGGGTCGGGACCCCATTTGGGGTCGAATGACCATTTCACGGGGGTCACCAAACCATGCTGTCCGCCATTTTTTTCCCTTTTCCCTAGCTGTCCTACTCCTTCTTATTGGTGACCACACCCACTTGGGGGTCACCACAACATGGGGAACTGTATTATGGGGTCACGGCATTAGAAAGGTTGAGAATCACTGTTTTAGACCTATATTTTGTTTCTGTAAAATCCCAGCAATATGTCTTACTAGGAATGATTTGGGCATGAAATGAAGTTGCACAAATATTCACCTTTTAGGAAGTATAAAAATCAGAATTAGGCAATCCTGTCTTCACTCGTAACCCAGTCAATATAATATCATACCTACATTTGTATTTAAGGCTGCTAATTTGATTAATGGGACCTAAGACAATCATGCCTAAGGATCACATGATAACCTCATCTAACTATTTAGGGTGAAACTTCTTAAGTTGTGATGTAAATGAATGAAGTATATGACAATCAAAGATTAAGCCCTTCCAATGGTGGGTGGATTGTTATCTGTAGAAAGCTCATCTGGTCCCTAGATTATGCTTTTTAGAGGCACCAGATATTTTAGAATTGCCTTTGCTGCTTTTCATTCATTTTTAAAGAATTTAAAACAGGTTTATCAATGTTCATTTTTTATTTGTATTTTTACTTCACTGGTTCACTAGTCAGAAAACCACAGTTCCTATATAAGCAAACAGCAAAAGCTGTATACTACCTGAAATCACTTTGTTTCATTTTATGATCTGCCAAAATTAATAAACAAAAGCTTATTATTTTGATGCAAAATCTGTAAACCATTAAAGTAAATCTAAAGAAGTTAGATTTGGGAGATGCTATGCTTTGCAACTGGACATCCTTAAAAATTATTCAGAAGTGCTTCAAAAGCTGTGCAAATCTATACCCTTCCCCAATTCATTAAATTAGCTATTTTTTTTACCCCAATATCTACCCAAGCCAAGCCTGGAAAAAAATGTGGCTGTTTCAAAACTAATAATGTGGCTGCTTCAATGAATCCACTCAGTGGCAAAGAATAGGATAATTTTCTCAACTGTACTTTAAGGTTGGATTGGATTGGTGTTGAATAAATATGGAGAACCATGTTTAATGAAGTTGTACTTGGAATAAATTTGGGAAAGAAAAAAAATGAAAGATCAAAGTACTAGCTCTTATCTTTCTTATTTATATTTAAAACCTCTTAGGATAAAATCAGAATGGCCTATTATTTAAAAGAGAGCATTTATTAATGTTCATTAAAGAATGATATATTTTTATAGTTATCCAATGTTCTAATTGACCTGTTCTTCTTTCCCTCATGCCCTCCCTTTCCCCCCTCCCACTCCACCCCCGAGAATTCAGGCTTTTAAACTCTGAGAACAAAATGTTTATTGTGATACTGCCAGATTTCTTGGGTGGCCTTGGGCAGTTGACTATCTCATCAGACCAGCTCCTTCATCTTTGAAACAAGAGTAATATATAATGAGGAACTTAGCCTTGAGGGATGTTGTAAGAATTAATGAGATAATGATTTTCAAACTTGGCACAAGAACATAACACAGTTGCCAGATGATGTTCTATATGGTGCCCATAAACCGTTGGATTTTGCATGGGAAAAAATTGTATTTCTTATTTAGCCAAAAGGAAAGGCCATATATATCTCAACAGGAAAATTTGGATCTGAAAGTAACACTCTTGAAAATATATAGGTACGGATAAATAACTGGAAAAATTAAAAAAACCTCCACTAGACACTCAACTGTGAGGTAAATTAGATATTAAATGTACTGAAGAAATTGTGACAAAATTCTGTCAGTTTTGCCTTTATTCTATGGTAATAAATCTGAAATACAGCATTTTCATTTCTCCTGTTTGGATATTCAAAGGTAAGAGAAAGAGGGAGAAGGAATGGGAGAGGAAGAAGCGAAATAAACAAAAATTGATTTACAAAAATGGATACTGTATACTGCAGAAACTAAATGCAAATATGCTTATACTGGAATACACAAGTGTGCATGAATTTTGATGGACTGATGGGGAAACAGGATGCATTAAACTTTTTAAAAAATCATAAGCTAGAGAAAGTGAAACAGATAAGTCTGTCCCACCCAAATTCTGGTTCATCCTGACTGAAAGGCTAGAGCATCCTGTGGAAAATAAGGTAGTCGTTTCCTATAATAATAATAATAATAATAATAATAATAATAATAATAATAATAATGATGATGATGATGATGATGATGATGATGATGATGATAATTTCCTATAAATCTCTGAAGCCTCATTTTACACCATTATGGATTAAGCATGACCAGTTCACAATGACAATATTCCCCTCTACATTTTGATATATGCAAATCCAGAACAGGTTTGACAATGTTTTGCAACCATAGTTGCATACATCCTTTTTCTCCAGAACTATTCATTGGGAATTCATCCATGAGAGATATGATACTGCTATTTGAATATATATATGATTGGCAGCATTTAGTATGCATCTTTGTTCACTTTATCCTCAATGTGAAAACCCCAATTGAGAATATTGTTCCCTCATTTCATTCCTCAACAGTGGAAGCACGTCAAAAGGCTGAAACGAGAGTTGAGCGTAAATGAAAGATTTCTCCAAAGCAGAATGTGAACAAGTTTTAACATTTTAAAAACATTGTCATTTACTTCTAACAAATATATGCTGTATGGGTGAGATCCAAGTGTGATTATTGTGTCCAGTTGTGGAAAGCAGCCATTAAGAAGGATTCAGACAAACTGAAATAGATGAAGTAGCTATAAGCTAAATCCTATGAAGAGGATTGCATCCTATGCATTCAGCTTTGATTGCTACAATGTAAAAAAGATGCTGAGACTCTAGAAAGAGTGCAGAGAAGAGCAGCAAAGATTATTAAGGGCCTGGAGGCTGAAATATATAGGAAACGGTTGCTGGAATTCGGTATGTTTAGTTTAATGAAGAGAAGGACGAGGGGGGACATGATAGCAGTGTTCCAATATCTCAGGGGCTGCCACAAAGAAAGGGAGTCAAGCTATTCTCCAAAGCACCTGAAAGCAGGACAAGAAGCAATGGGTGAAAACTAATCAAGGAGAGAAGCAACTTAGAACTAAGGAGAAATTTCCTGACAGAATAATTAATCAGTGGAACAACTTGCCTCCAGAAGTTGTGGATGCCCCAACACTGGAAGTTTTTAAGAAAAGATTGGACAATCATTGGTCCAAAATGGCATAGGGTTTCCTGCCTGAGCAGGGGGTGGGGCTAGAAGACCTCCAAGGTCCCTTCCAACTCTGTTATTCTGTATTCTGTAAGAGGAATGAAGGAATAAGGGTTGCATTTAATCTTGTGAACAGAGATAGAATAGATTAATATTGTACAAATACCTGAAGGAATGTCATGGAGAAGATCAGGACCTGTTATTCATCAACTCAGAATGCAGAACATGAAAAAAATGGATTTAAATTACAAGAAGATAGGTTCCAACTATGTATTGGGGGGGGGGATGTCCTATGACAATAAGAGTGGTTTGACAATTTAGTAATTAGACAATGGGGAAAAGCTAGCTGGGCCGAGAAAGAAAAGAAAAAGGAAGGGGAAACAAAACTGAACTGAGATGAGGTGAAGCAAAAAGATCATTAGACAGGGAAGGGTTAAGTTCACCAGGCACAATGTTCTCTATCCCTAAAGCTCCATATAGAATCACAACCTTCAGACCTTTTCTTCAGAATAAACTTGGATTTCTGCAATGAGCAGACAATTGGACTCAGTCTAAATAACCCCACCAAACTCTATAATTCCATGTACCAATTTCTTGGACAAAGACATCTGCCAGCACTTTGGAAAGCAATGAATGAGTGCTTTACCAGGCACGTGTCAAGCATAGATTTAATGAAGGGAAGACATACACATACATAAGCTATTTAACTATTACTGTGGTATGCCCCTATAGAATATATTGATACAAGGGTTTAGAAGAGAGCTATCTAGAAAATCCAATTAGGAAAAGCTCGAAGTATTAATTAGATTTGCATAGAGCTAGACTACATTTTCCTGACCTGTTCCATTTTAATCTTCTCATGCAGAGGGAAGGGAAGGAATAGTATATTTTTAAAGCTCTTTCAGGTAGGACACTTGATTTCAGTTTGCAAAAGGTAAATCATGAAAACAATTTAATTTTTAAATATGTTCTACATATTATGTGTGGATGTATGTGTTTGCATCTTCAAGACAGTGACTCATGGTCACTCCCTGGACTAATCCCTGCAATTTTCAGGTTTCTCTTGTCCTAGGATTGAGAGAGAGAGGTATGGGCCACAGGTCACCTAGCTAGTTTCATACCCAAGGCAGGACTAGAACTCAAGGCCTTGCAATAACTAGCATGATGCCTTAGCCACTACACTTAGCCAAGTTTGTTTTTATTTATTTCTATTGCATAATAAGAATACCTTGAAAAAGTAGTTTATAAATATTAGCAATAACCATTTCAGAAAACATATTATGAAGACAAAGATGAAGCATGATTTTCACATGCACATAGTCAGAACAAACCTGTGACTGAGAAACACCTAAGAATGAAGTTGTATATGACATTAGGAATATACTATTACCTGCCTAATTCCTTAGAACCACTTAAATGAACCAAATGAGTCTCCAAATTACTGTTACCAAAATAGTAGTAGTAGTAGTAGTAGTAGTAGTAGTAGTAGTAGTAGTAGTAAGTTGGAAGGGACCTTCCCTAAATTCCATCAATTTCAACAGTTCTGCATTTTAACTTTTAAGTTCTAGAAAAGTTTTTAAAAGTCACAACAGTTCACTTCCCCTCCCAGCTGAAATGCATGCAAAGCTGTCCTTGTTTAAAAGCTTTTATATTTCTTTTGCATGCAGAAAATAGCCTCTGTCTTAAAACGTTGTGGGTTTGTTTTGCTAAATTCAGTTTGCATTTACCCAGCATGCTTTCCTCTTATGAAAAAAAGATGCCACTTAAAACTATGTTTAGACACATATGCCAAAGAGAAATCAACTCTTTGAAATAGTAATGATCAACCTAGTCATTCTAGAGACAATTAGCTTTTCGGGAACTTAACAGGTTTATTTACTTGATGTACTAGAATGAATCTATATCAATGTCACTATAACATTTTATCTGAAAAAAGCTAATTTCTATGGTAGAAATAAGAAGGATGGAAATTAGGAGGAATCTGCACATGCCTTCTGTCACTGAGCTTAACTAATAAATTATGCAGTAGAATGCTATACCAGACACTAATCTTTAGATTGGTGTTTCTCAACCTCAGGAACTTTAAGATATGTAGACAACTCCCAGAATCCTGGGTGTTAGCTAAGGGAATTCTGGGTGTTGAAGTCCATATATCTTAAATGACCATGTATTCCATGACAAGATAACTTTTAATCTAGTATCATTACAAATGTCTTACCAACCTTCTTTGACAATTTCCAAGGCAAGGTAAAAAACTTTCACATTTATAGTTAATTTTATTACTGAAAAATCCTGAACCCTAAGAATTTCTTCCCAATACTTAATTTAAATCAGTGCTTCTCAATTATTTTCTGTCATGCCCCCCTAGGAAGAAGAAAACATTTCACGCCCCCCCGCGCGACTGTCTATCCAATCGGGTCCTTTGCGTGTGTCACGTGCATCCAATATGACAGTATTTGCCGAGGTCAAACGAGCCCCCCTTTACGGAGCCTCGCTCCCCCCCTGGGGGGCCCGCCTCACTATTTGAGAAGCACTGATTTAAATGTACAATTTAAATAAGTTACTAGTTCTTTTCTTAAGTGTAGCTTTCCACCATCTGGTGGTCTCCAGATAGATTAGATTACAAATGTCATTATTCCCAGTCAATGTAGCCAAAGGAGTTAATAAAAATTACTGCCCAAAATACATGAAGGGAATCTGGTTGAGGAATCCCCTGCAATTAAAACAGCAGAGACTCTAATTGTGATAGCTTCGGTCCTTTTGTCATCTTTATAAGTCAGATCTTCATAAGCTATACAAATCCTGAGCAGCATCATTCTGTCTCCAGGTTCTAAAGCAAAATTTCTCTTGTTTCTTATTTTCAGAGTAGTCTTGAACCCCTCATATCTTCATAGTGTTTCATTTTGCAATACAATACTCTTCCTGCTCTCCATCTTACCTTGTCGATGAAAGAGGCAAACTTGTTGTTGAGGGTCTTAATCTGTTCCCTCTCTTGCACCCGGACCCTCTGAATCTCAGGATCAACCTCCACATGCAGAGGAGTCAGTAAGTTCTTATTCACTATAATGTTATGGATTCGCCCAGGCGGTGGGCAAGGCATTGAGCCTGAAAGTGCATATCCTCCTCCACTACCACCACCAAAGCCTCCAACATGACTACCCAGACCAATGCCACCACCGAGGGCAACCCCACCACCATAACCTCCATATCCTGAGCTATAACTGCTGAATCCCAGACCGCCACCCAAGCTTCTTCCAAAGTGAACTCCTCCACCACCACTGGAAGCTAGGCCCATCGAAATCCGTTTGCTTCCACCAACGTTGTAGAGGCTTCTGCTGCCAAAGCCACCACCAAAAGATCCCACTCCTCCAATGACAGAGGTTGAACTGTTGCCCACTCGGAAGCCACTATTGGAAACAGAGTAATTCCTCCTTCCCCCCGTTGAAAATGATCTGGAACTGAATTGCCGGTTCATGGTGCGTCTGTGAGAGGGAGAATGGCAAGGTTGTGAAGCAGAAATAGAAGAGTAGAGATTAGTGGAGACCAAGAGCCCCCCCTGTGATGTGGAAATGGGAGATGTCTCCTTATATGCATTTGAAGTCTTGGGCTTGGTTGCATGGGAATGAGAAAAGGAAGGCAAATATTCAAGGGCTTGCCTTGCCTTCAAGCAATGAGTTCTATAGTAACGGCCTAACATCAAGTGCACACACCTATCCGATAAGTTTAATTTGTCCAAATTGCTTGCCTTGCAATCCCAGCTTATTTGCATCCCTTTTATGTTCACCATTACCCTGCTTGCTTTCTTCAAAGAGCTTTAAGCTATGGTACAACAAGGGGGTACAACTGAGGATACCTGTGCCAACAAATACTATTGCACATAAAGAACAAGGCACAGGTCTGGGTGTGTGATGCTCTGCAGAAATGGGAGAAATCTTCTGAGCCAATCAGCCTGATTGCATAGAGAGTTCTAAGGACACATTCAGCTCTGGAAAACTCTGCAAAAAGTTCATTTTAGAGGGGAACCCCTTAAGACCATTTTTGTGCATTTCTATGTGTGTATTTGTGTATGTGTGCACGCATTTATTGTGAATCACATGAATGGTGTTGTGAGGAATCTACAAAAGAAGAATTAACAGTGTTGCACCGCATCATCAGTTTTTCCTAATGTTAGTTTCTTCGGATGTGTTCACCTGCAATTTTGACAAACTGCCACTGCCACAAGCAATGTTCAGAAATGATTGGGACTCTTAGGCTAAATACTTGAAGAGCATTAAAGATGAGAAAGAATGATTTTCTATAAATCCAGGTAAATTGCTCAGAAATGATAGATTGAGCAATTTGAGCAATGCCATGCTTTTCATAGGGCTACAGCATCATCGGAACCATACATTTTATCTAGAGCTATGCCTGTCTAAGAAGATTTCATGTAACACTACAATGTGGGCATCTTGGTTTAAAGAATACTATACACAAATTCAATTTAAATAACAAGTTGTTTTCAGGGGTGATTTCAGGACTTCGGGGTGGTTTGGAAAACCATGTTCAGCTAAATGTTTCCAGCTTCTATTCAAGCAATACTAAATTCTCTACAAAACCACAACAAGTAATAGGTTTCCTTAATTGCAAAGAAACTTCAGGGCAAAAATGTCTTTGCATCTCAAATATTATGTATTTAAATCATGATCTTTGCCTGCCTGGGCACAACATGCAAGGAGCAGAGATCGTCATAAGAATTTTAAAGGCCCTGATTTTTTTCTCTCTCTCCTCATTTCCCAAGCTTGCGCAGAAACAAATGCAGCCAACACAATGCATCATTAGAAAAGATGAAAAAAATGTGTACAATATGATCTATATTCTGGCTTTTTCCTCAGGCATTGTGCAATAGGGAGAGAGAGAGAGCCTCTTATCCGATTTTTCATGCTACTTTAAATGTGCTCTTCTGAACACAAACCATTCGTTTTGTTGTTATAATGTTCCTGATGTTTTCAATGTTTTATGGTGACTTTATGGAAGCCTTATATTGTAAATATGCCAAACAAACAAACAAATATTCCCAAGCAATTCCATCCCATCCCCCAATTCTCTCCTCTAAGCAAGTGACAACATTCTGCTAGTAATTTAGTTCAACCAATTGGGATGGATAAATAAGTGAGAAGCTAAAAGCAAGAAAACAAAATGAAAAATGCAACATGTCCTCTTCAGGACCAGATCCATTCAGTGTTCCCAAAATGTCTTTCTTAACTAGCCTTTCATAACTGCAAACATTACAAGTGTACACTTGCTTTTCACACCTTTCCCCATAGGCCCTGCACACCTTCAGAGTAGCCATTATCTGATGGGTGGGCCAATTATGGATGTTTATGTTAATTGATGAATGTTTAAACTTGAAAAATGATCTGACCAGGAGCTGAGCATTGACTAGTATTGTCTCAAATACTGTGAAACCCAGTTGACTGTGTGCATCTCAGAGGTTTCACTTATTTCTCAGCAACAAAGTCTCTGCACCAAAGGCCTAGAACAGAGGTAGGCAACCTTGGCTCTTTTATGACTCGTGGACTTCAACTCCCAGAATTCCTGAGCCAGCATGGCTCAGCTTGGAAACTCTCCCTTTCCCCTCAGCATGGCTGGCTCAGGAATTCTGGGAGTTGAAGTCCATGAGTCATAAAAGAGCCAAAGTTGCCTACCCCTGGCCTAGAAAAAGAATCTTTCATTAGGCATTTTATTTATTCTTACACATGCTTTTCTTCCATATTAGCCCCTTCAACATCCAAACTTATAATCTCATATTTGTGCAGAACATTCCATAATCCAAGTCTATTCAATCTTTCACACACTTATCTCCGTGTCAACAAAGAGGATAAACTTTATTTCTTGCATTCTTTACTAAACTCCCTTTTATCCCTTAATTAATTAATTAATTAATTAATTAATCTCTTAATTCAGAGTATAATTGAGGCAAGACTGGATGGAGCTGGGAGTTTACTGACCTTCCTGATGCCCTGCAGAGTTCACAGCAGATATTTTTTTCTTTGTGCCCTAGGAGAGAAATACCTGCTGCTACCTAGAATTGAACTCTCAACCTTCCAAGTGGGAGGCGAGCATCTTCACCACTAGGCCAACACACCGCTCAAACAATGCTCGTGCATTCTTTACAACCATGCCAAAAAACAGAAATCTAAGTTGCCCACCTATCCTAACATAAGACCAGACTGCAGCTTCCCAAATTTTACTCTTTATTACTTCTGCTACTGTTTCAATCAGAATTCAGCCAAACACCTTCCCAAGCATACTAAAGAAATTCATTCTCTCACTTTTTTTTTGCTTTCACTTCTGCTATTTTTCCTTTCATTCAGAAAGATAATGATTTTCTTCCCATCATCAACACAGATGCAGACTTCACCTACCTGTGTAAAAAAGTTGCACAGCCACGCCTAAGCCAATCACATCAAATTTAACATTTCTCCACTTTCTCAGTTTGCATTTGCCACCTCTCTATTTTTCAGCATTCTTATAGCATTTCTAACTATTTTTTTCATCATTTTGTTGGATGCCAGCTTTTGTTTCAATTCCAGTCTCTAAGAATTCCGCCAAGGTTCCCTGACCTCAATTTCATGACTTACATTTTTAATTCCATTTACTCTGCTCAAGAGCTGCTTCACTCTCTTCACCCATTTCCAGAACCACTTTTTATTTCCATCAACGTCATTCTGCAGCTTCTCTGTCTCTTTTAATCTTCATTTAAATGTGCTGTTGGACTGCATTGGGTAGGGACGGTCAAGCACAGTGAATTTCCCATTTGTCTTTTGCTTTTGGAGGTCCCTGCTTTCTATTATGGTCCCTCCCTGGCTTTTTCAATGGGCTTTTCTTCATCATTTAGCCACATTTCCTGCTCTCTGTTAATGTTTATGGATTGGGACTCTATGTTAGGAGATCAAATCTTGTGCAGAGGCATGATAGTGTGGGAACCAAGGTGTGTATATCAAGAACCACACAATGGCTGAGATGTACACAAGTCGGGAATTGCAACCAGGAGAATGTGGAGATTCTCAGTCTTCCAGGCCTGATAGTTGTCTCAAAGGTGCTTTTTCAAAAGGCAACTGGACTTTTTTTTCCCATGAGGAAGAAGAAGAAAACATTTTGCTTCTCATCCAAGAAGCTTCATCCGAAGTGAGGAAGCTCCTAACCCTAACCCACAGGTATAAAATATGTGAAAAATGATCATAAGTTATTTTTTCAGTGCCATTGGGCACTGTTACAATATATATGGCTCTTGCTTTTATGAACCATCAAGAATGATGTAATAAAAACAACAATTTTAATTTAATTGTTGCATTACGATTTATTATAAATTGTACTGAATTGTTTATGTAATTCTTTTATTGATGAATTAGTATTAATGTTTGGTATCCGTGCACTTTTGCCAATGTATGTATGGGGCCCATTGATTAGCACATTTTTTGTAACGAATTTCAGATCCCAGCTCTAAATGTTACACAGGGAGTTCTTGACTTACAACAGTTCGTTTAGTGGCTGTTCAAAGTTACAACAGCACTGAAAAATGTGAGTTATGACCATTTTTCACAGTTACAACCTTTGCAGCATCCCCATGATCACGTGATCAAAATTCAGATGCTGGTTCATAGTTATGATCAATACTGTGTCCCCAGGCCATGTGGATCACCTTTTGCGATCTTCTGACAAAGTCAATGGGGAAGCCAGATTCACTTAACAACCATGTTGCTAATTTAACAACTGCAGTGAGTCACTTAGCAACTGTGGCAAACAAGGTCATAAAATGGGACAAAACTCCATTAACAAATGTCTCACTTAGCAAAAGAAATTTTGGTCTCAGTTGTGGCCATAAGCCAAGGACTACCTGTGTAAGACCATATCACATTTATTCTTTCACTCTAATTTCTTCCCTTCCTTCCTTTCCTATGTGCCCATCCAGTGAAAATCCCAAAGGTGCTTTTCCCAAAAGGCAACTGGACTTTCTTGTTTTTTTCTTTGAAAATGTTTGCCTCTCTAACCCTAACCCTAACCCTAACTGACAGGTGGGTAATGGAAGGTTAGAATCAGTCAGTTAGAACTGAAAAAGCTTCTTGAGTGAGAAGCTAAATGTTTTCAAAAGAAAAACCAAAAAAGTCCAGTTGCCTTTTTTTGGGGGGGAAGCAACTTTGGGACAACCATGACCTGGATGATTGTTGTTGTTATTAGTTGCGAAGTCATGTCTGACCCATCACAATCCCATGGACAACGTTCCTCCAGGCTTTCCTGTCCTCTACCATCTTCTGGAGTCCCTTTAAGCTCACGCTTACTGCTTCAGTGACTCTATCCAGCCACTTCATTCTCTGTTGTCCCCTTCTTCTATTGCCCTCAATCTTTCCCAGCATTAGGCTCTTCTCCAGTGAGTCCTTCCTTCTCATTAGGTGGCCAAAGTACTTGAGTTTCAACTTCAGGATCTGGCCTTCTAAAGAGCAGTCAGGTTTGATCTCCTCTAGGACTGACCGGTTTGATCGCCTTGCAGTCCAGGGGACTCGCAGGAGTCTTCTCCAGCACCATAGTTCAAAGGCCT